TTTGTTTGTGCCTGGCTGGGACCCACTCAGGGAGTGATAAGGGGTAGGCATTCAGCATGCTGATGCATGAATGGGTGAATAGAGACAGGAAAAGACAGCCACACACTCACCTGAATTAGACTTGAATGTGGATCCACAGACTGGGAAGAGAATGAACATAAAGTTCACTAAGTCAACAGCTGCTAGGTAGGCACCAGTGAAAACCTGGGAGCAAACGGGAACAGAGTCTTGGCATTCAAGCATCTTTTCTCAGCCGCTACAGCGTCTGTCATCCGGGACCCTGTATCACGTGGGTTACACTGATGTGGTGCCTCCACGTGTATTCCTCCAGGGACACCTCCCGCCAACCCCGGAAAAGTCCATTATCATCTCCACTTGGCTGATGAGGAGATGAGGTGTTTATATGACCGAACCCAAGGTAGGCAGATGCCCACCAGTAGGGTTGGGGTAAGAGCGAGCCCCCCAGCTCTATTCCACACACGTCCCACTGCATGAGGCAGTCTCTGCTGTGTACCTTTGGCCCACTGACCTTCTCTGGCCCTCAGTTTCCTCATCTGCAAAACAAGCATACTAACGGTGCCTCCGTCAAAGACTGTCAGGAGGGTTACTTAAGACAGTACATGGGCAGTGGTTAGACCAGTGTCTGGGGAAAGCAAACCACCTCTAAAGGCACCAGCTACTCTGACAGTAGAGTCGGCGGTGAAGAACTTGCACTGTGGAGTTTGAATCTCGGAATCTTGGCACTGCTATTTACTAGATGGGTGACCCTTAACCTCTCTATGCTTCAGTCTCCACGTCTGTAGAACAGAAATAATGAGGACACTCACGTCATAGGATGCTGGTATTCCAGGAGTCAATACCAAAAGGTCTGTAGTGCCAAGTATGTAGTTAAGTTTTTAATAAATATTATTAATGGACTTGAGCTGGGACCTATCGTATTCTTTTTTTTTTGAGATGAAGTCTTGCTGTTGTCCAGGCTGGAGTGCAGTGGCATGATCTCGGCTTACTGCAACCTCTGCCTCCGGGGTTCAAACAATTCTCCTGCCTCAGCCTCCTGAGTAGATGGGATTACAGGCGTGCGCCACCATGCCCAGCTAGGTTTCTCCATGTTGGTCAGGCTGGTCTCCTGACCTCAGGCGATCTGCCCGCCTCACCCTCCCAAAGCGCTGGGAGTGCAGGTGTGAGCCACTGCGCCCGGCTGGCCCTATTGTATTCTATTAGCTAATGAGAATGGGCATCCAAAATGAAAGGTGATTTGCTTTCGAGACAACACTGCTCGAAGCAGGGTCTAGAACGCTCCAAATCTGTGCTCTGCCTACTGAGCTGCCTTCCTTCATTTCTACCTGGACGGGCATAAGGCCAAGACCAATCCCATGAGGTGCCTCCACAGGGGGCACAACAGGTTTTCTGGGGGATATGTGTTTTGGGATAGGAGCCTTCCACACAGGCTTGTTTGAGGGCCTGGGCTTTTAGGAAACTTGAAACTACTTCTCACTTGCCCCAAAGCCTACACCACTACCTGGATTAAAGCTGTAAATTACTATTTATTGAGCACCTACTAGGTGCCAGGTGCTGTT